AAAAAAAAAAAAAAAAAAAAAAAAAAAAAAAAAAAAAAAAAAAAAAAAAAAAAAAAAAAAAAAGAGTACTTGTCACTCTTGTAGAGGACCTGAGTTTTGTTCCTAACACGCACGTGCTGGCTTACAACCATCCATAACTCCAGTGCCAGAGGACCCAACATCCTCTTCTGGCCTCCACTGGCACCAGGCATGCATATGGTGCATATATATACATACATGTAGGCAAATCATTCATACATATAAAAGAAAAATAAATAAATCTAGTTGGATGGCGGTGACACAGACCTTTAATCCTAGTACTCAGGAGGCAGAGAAAGGTGGATCTCTGTAAGTTTGAGGCCAGCCTGGTCTTCAGAGCTACTTCCAGGACAGCCAAGGCTACACAGGTAAACCCTGTTTCGAAAAGCCAAATTCAATCAATCAATCAATCCTGCATTTAAAAAGAAAGAAATGAGAAGTTCTGTGCTTACACGTTCCTTAGCTCAGAGGACATGTTGATACGTAGAAATGGGGATTAAGGCACAGGTCTCCATCTGTGACACGGGAAGGACACACTTGCCCTTTTATCTTGAGTTAGTGTGAGTTGGTCCGCTGTCATTTACAGCCAAAATGACTTTGGAAGCCACAAGTCTACTACTAGTGGACAAAGTCGTTTCCTTCCTGCCTATTCAGAGGCAACTGTGAAGAACCATGAATCTTACAGCCTAGATCTGGAGGCTGAATGCTTCTGTGGTGTGCTCTCTACCCAGAAGACACCTGGTTATATCTTTGGGAGTTTGACAGGCTCCAGTCCTTTCTGGTTGGTTCATGAACATGTGACTTTAGTTGGAATCAGTCAGACTCATGAAATGGGGCCAGTGGTACCCAGAGTCAGTGAAGAACTCATTCTTAGGGCAGCTGTGATGGCATGCACACATGAATCCTGAAGCCATAGGTACAATGCTTCACAATTCATGTTCTGTGATAGAAATTTAGTTGTGTTGCCGGGCTTCAAAATCTCCTTCATCCCAACTGATTGGTGGATCTACGGACTCTCCCATAACTTCTACTGACTTTTCCATAACCAGAAAAGTCCTTTTCCTGCTTGCTTTGGCCAGACCTATTTTCGGTTGCTGATGGCTAAAACCCCTACTGACATGCTCAGGCATCCTTCAAGCCCAGGTCTTGTCCCGAATCCCTTTCCTGATCTCCCTCTAGAGGCCACATGCTCCTCCCTCCAGCACTGCCAGCTCACCGACTCCCAGGGCCAGCTAGCAGGTGACTTTAGTGCCGCTCCACCATAAGAACAGGGACAGCTGGCTGTGCTGAAATCACAGGCCTTCTGGACCATTGAATAGCAAGCACATGCTTGTTTCCTAGGGCCACTTGTGTCTGGGAAGATGGAGAGATGATGTCTCAGATTTTGCTCAGTGGGTCTTCCTAGAAAACAAACAGGCTTAGGACAGGAATCCTAGCAGGTTCCTAGGGACTGTGGAAAGAACAGGTGCTCCCCCCAGCATTCAGGGTAATCTGGATCTAGGAAAATGCCTGAATTGGGGCACAGAAGGAGAAGCCAGTGGCTGGCCAGCTGAGGGGGAGGGAAGGCAGGAGAAGGGAGAAAGAGGGGGGAGTGTCAGACACCCACACCAGCCTGTGGCAGAAGAAGGAGCTTCAGTGACAGAGGGTTGACTATTTCCAGAGTTCTCAGCACAAGCCATAGAGTCTGATGGTGCCTGTGGCCAGTAACAATGTCGTCAGGACATGGAACCAGTCTTGCATCCTCTACCTCTGGCTCATTGAGTGGATAAGTGGTATGAAATTGGAGCCATTACTAGTTAGCCATTTTAATCGTTGACTAGGCAGACACATTTTAGCTGATGCATGTGCAACCTTCCAAAACCCCACTCTACTCCCTTTCTCTGCACAAGCTAGGGTGTTCCAGATGGTCCCAACAGAGGCAACTGCAACCCTATTGGATAATTTAAAGTTATCTGTGTTGTCAAGTAAGATAGATATTGTACCAACCTATCCTCTTCCCTCCTCTCTCTCTCTCTCTCTCTCTCTCTCTCTCTCTCTCTCTCTCTCTCTCT